CTTCGGGCCTGGTGGCCGGGGACCTTCGGGCCTGGTGGCCGGGGACCCTTCGGGCCTGGCAGCACTGCTGCACCTCTGTCTCCTTGGTCCACAGGCGGTGTCGTCAGGTGATGAGAAGGAGGGCCTCAAGCACCCCGGGCTAATGCTGAAATACTCCACATACAAGAACCTGGCCCAGCTGGCGGCCCAGCGCGAGGACCTGGACACCGCCATGGACTTCTACCTGCAGGTGCGGCTCAGCACGCCCGTGGGGAGTTGATGGCTCTGACATGAGGGCTGAGGCGCGCCCTCATGAGCCGAATGTGAGACTCCGTAGTGGTGCATGGCGAGGGGTGCGGCTGAGGCCCCGGCCCGCAAGTGTCACGGCACACGCACAGAGGTGGTAGAGAGGAGGCCACTTCCGTCCTGTGCACGTAGAGCCCTCCAGGGGCTGGAGGAGCCATTGGGTCACAGCCCTCAGGGCACAGGGCCTGCCAGTTGGTGATGTGCTGGTTCCCACCGAAGGCCGTGGCCACACTGCTGTCCCGCTGCCACTTAACATGGGGAGTTATGCCCTCTTCCCCACTCTTTGTAAAGCAGTGGTGTCTGTCAGCCTGTTTCTTCTTTTCTAAAAAAATAAAGTATACATATAGTGCCTAAGGCACATGACCGCTAACCATAGGGTGGCGGTTCAAACCCACGAGCCACTCCTCAGAAGGAGGGCTGGGCAATCTACTTCCGTAGTGATACTGCCTCGGAAACCCAACGAGGGGTCGCTATGAGTCGGGTCCGACTCGACGGGACATAACAACGACAACGACGATGAGATAAGCAGGGGCACAGAACTTTTGCTGGCGCTGTAGTGATGCGGTGGTTCGAGCTGCCAACCAAAGGTCTCTGATTTGAACCCACCAGCCGCTCTGTGGGAGAAAGACAAGGCTGGCAGCTTCCGTGAAGACTGACAGCCTTGGAGACCCTCTGGGGCAGTTCCACTCTGTCCTCTAGGAGCGCTGTGAATCGGAATCGACTGCAAGGCAGTGGGCGTGGTTTTCTTGGTGGATTAGTTAACTTTCTGCCTGCCCTTTCTTTGGGTCTGGGGGCATGTCTGGTTCCAGGAAAGATGAGAGCGCCTTGTCGCGCAGTGATTAGGTGGTCAGGCACCGGGTGTGTGATCCCGCCCAGGCCGCCCCCCGGGTGGGGATCTTACCAAGGTGCGCTCTGTTGTGCTCCCCCAGGCAGTGATGCTGGACTCCACCGACGTCAATCTCTGGTACAAAATCGGACACGTGGCCCTGAGGCTGGTCCGCATCCCCCTGGCTCGCCACGCGTTTGAGGAAGGGCTGCGTTGCAACCCTGACCACTGGCCCTGCCTGGACAGCCTCATCACCATTCTGTACGCGCTCAGTGACTACACCAGTGAGTCCCGCCCCGATGGTGTTGACAGTGGCGGGGGTGTGGCTCGGGGGTGGCAGGGATGCTGGTGCAGAGGGCTGTCTGCCCCCTGCTTGCTTCTGACTTGGCTCTCTCACCGCCCTGAGGTCTGTCAAGTGCTGGGTGGTGACACGGAGCCTGTTCTCGGAGTGGCTTCCCCTTGCTCACTCATTTCGCCCATGCTGTGCCGTCCTGGGCTGGCCCCATTCTGCACTTTGACGACAGACAGCCTTGCACTGCTGCCTGAGGGATCCTGGGCATGGTGCTCACTGGCTTTGTGGGCACCCGCTTCCCTGCAGGACCACAGAGCTGCCTGGCCCAGCCCTCCGCCCCCCAGGATAGCTTGTTCCTGGGGTAGCCCCTGATGAGGTGCTGCAGCCCTGGCGATCTGGTGCTTTCTGGTCCAGCGCCAGACGCACCTCCAGGAGTGACCGGATAGACAGCAGGGCTGTGAGGTCCTGTGTGGCGGCAGCTCCGTACCAGGCCCAGCCCAGTACCCTGTGCCGAACAGACGGGCTGACAGGCATGATTGCACTCACTGTGACGGCTGAAGCCTGGCCAGCTGACTCGCAGAGGCCTGTTCCTCTACAGACAGGTGTACCAGGCACAGCACCGAGAGGCTCCCTCTGCCCCACAACAGGCCTCTCCTCCAGAACTGCTCTGAAGAGTTTCTAAAAAAACCAAACTCACTGTCGTCAAGTCGGATCCAACTCATAGTGACCCCTCCTTGCGTTTCCAAGGCCGTATCCCTAAGGAAGTAGATTGCCCAGTCTTCCTTCTGAGGAGTAGCTAGTGGGTTTGAACTTCCAGCCTTCTGGTGAGCAGTCAGATGCCTTAGGCACTGCATCACCAGTTGAGGGAAAACATCCAAGTGGCAGTATGCACACCTCTGCATCCACAGATCCGGCATTTCGTAGACAGGAAAACATGGCAAGGTCTAGGACGCCTGCAGCACCCCAGGAGGCAGGCTGCCCCCACCACCCAGAGGGGCCCCCAACGTCTCCCTTTTGTGAGCAGAACGGAGCTTTGCTTATTGTCGCCCTGCCCTAGGTGGCGTCACATGGCATGTGCCCTGCATTGGTCTGTAGTGTGACTGCAAGCAGTGGAACCATCACATGTTGTTTGTGCACGGGTTTGGCTCCTGTGCACATGCTGCTGAGGGAATTCCTGTGGAAGTCTGGGTTTTAACACTTCATTCAGCAGTTTCACAGGCTGGTCCCTGACGTTGGCTGCCGTCCCCGCAGTGTGCCAGCACTGTGCCTGCTCCCATTTCCGTCCCTCCTGCTGCCCTGCCCTCCGTGCCTTCTCGTCTCTGCTGCTGGGCACAGGATGCCCGCTGCTCGTGTGGGTGATTGTTCTGTCGAGGCACGTTGCTGCAGGTGTTCTTGTTCATATCGTGGGGGCAGTAAACCATTTGTCGTTTAGCTGAAAGGGGACCTTCTGGGATTGCTGCAGGTGTTCTTGTTCATATCGTGGGGTCAGTAAACCATTTGTCGTTTAGCTGAAAGGGGACCTCCTGGGAGTGACCTCAGTACCAGGTTAGAAGACTGGCTCAGGGTAATAGTCCCAGAGCTCTGCATGTCTGGTGGCCTCGCGCAATGGTTCTGTTAGAAGAGTGTCTCAGGGCCATAGTCTCGGGGCTGCGCGGTCTCCCGTGGACGTGCGCACTGGTCTGTCTCCTGCCCCGGTTTCCACTCCCATCAGCACCGGGAGTAGTTTCAGCAGGCCACCGTTGTGACTGTAATCAAAGCTGCTTCTTGGGGAGGCTGTTTCTTTGGGGATTTTTTCCTGTGGCTTGGGTGCCACCTTGAGGTGGGGGGTTGCAAAACTGGCGAGGAGGCCACATGTTCTGACCTCCTCTAACCCTCCAAGGGGAAGACAGGATCACCAGCAGTAACCCAAGGCCTATTCCTGCCAGGCCAGACATGCAGCCTCCCGCCTCCAGCCCTTGCTCCAACCGTTCCTCCCAAAGCACCCACCACCTCTCTCCTGGGTTTGATAATTCCCTGCAGTGGCCACACAGAACTCACAGATTATGAGGTTTATTAGGGAAGCACCAGGCTACAATTCGAGTTCAGGAAAAATGCTCAGTCTCTCTCCCAGCCCACCATCCCTCAGCCAACAGTCTCTCACAGTCTCTTTCCCAGCAATGCTGGTCCCTCAGTGTCTCACTCAGCGATGCATGTCTCTTGCGTCTGTTTCCCAGCAACGTGTGTCTCTTTCAGGGGCGCGTCTCTTTCAGCAGCAGTTCTTCCTCCACCAGCAGTCAGAGAGAGTTCTGCCTCCAGGAGGCCTCCTTTTGAGCCCAGCAGGGTGGTCAGACTAGCCAATCATAGCATCAGAGCTCTAAGCACCTGAGAGAGAGTGGGCACCTCCCAGAACATTGTTTTGTGCCACTCCCAACAGAAGTACCCCAGGTGGACAACTTCAGCAATCAGGAGCTCCTCAGTTGCTCATAGAAAATCCCACCTTGGAGTTTACAAAGACTTATGGGTAGAAAAGCCACAGTAAGTAACTTACTACACCACAGGGGTCTTCAGGATGCAGCCTGCCTCCCCAGCCCCCTGGTTTACTTCTTTGTACCTGTTTCTGGTGGCAGAAGTTGTGCTTGGTAAGCGTGTGTCCTGTGGGGGAAATGAGCTTGGGGACTGAACAGATGCATATATCCACAAGAGCTCTGACCTGTTTGACACTCATTTAAAGCAGCATGTGAAAGCAGCATGCTGAATTGACTTCTGGTGGTATCTGGTGCCTTTGGTGAGGGATTAGGAGTGCTGCTCGGTGTGTCTCCTGACTGCCCGCTCCCTGGACACTCGCCAGGCATCCCTTTCCTGGAGTGTGGGTGGAGCGTGGCCAGTGTGCTGAGCTTCGCCCCAGCGAATGCACCTGCTGAGAGCCAGGTCATCCAGGTGCTCAGGGCTGCCTGGCTTTTCTTTTTGAAAGAGGATGTGGCCACCCTTCTGGGGCCACTGTGGTTGGCTGAGGTAGGAGCCTTTGGGGCATCTCCTGATGGGTACATTGCAGCTTGCTACGTTGTGCTGGGGTTTTGCAGGTGCCTCCCTGGTCCCTACTAAGCACCAGACCTGGACAGGCGGGCCTCTCCCTACTCAGCCTCCCTGCAGGACACCCTGGAGGGCAGCGGCGGCCTCTCCCTGCCCCTCCCTGCATGGCACCCACCGGGAGAGGACTGGCCTCTCCCCCGCAGGACATCCTGGAGGGCAGCGGCGGCCTCTCCCTGCCCCTCCCTGCGTGGCACCCACTGGGAGAGGACTGGCCTCTCCCCCACAGGACACCCCGTGCTGCTCTGGCTCCCCTCTGTCTTGCCCCTGATCTGAGCACAGTCACAGAAGAGGCGCATGCACGGGTGTTTCCCATCCGCACGCGCGCAGGACCGGTGCTCACCTGCATGAGCCAGGCTGGCGGCCCTGCTGCCCCATGCCCTTGGCTTTCCATGCTCACAAGTGAGGCCTGGTGGTGTGTAGTCTGGGGGCTATCCTCAGCAGTCACGTGTGTTGGGCCGGTTTCCGCAGTGGGTACCGGAGGCCTCATAACTGACATCACAGCTCTGCTCAGGAGCCAGCCCGGGCCCTCCTCTGGAGGCAGCCGTTCTGTGTTTGGTTTGCCCGTCACTGTGTCTGCTGTGCAGGAGCTGGAGCTGGCACAGCTTTGTGGAGCCCGCCGTGGAGGCCCGTTGTTGTACAGACACGAGCAGTGCACGCTTGTTAGACTGAAAGTAACTGTACTGTAAGGACAATTGGAAAAATACACAGGTAGGAGCAGGACAGTTAGGAAATGCAGCTGAGGAAAAGGAGGAGGAGGCAGATTGGCACACGTGGGGATGAGCCCAGCCTCGTCCCTGCCCTTCAGCTGGTGGACACCTCGCCGGTTGGGATCATGCTACTCAGCTCTTGCGTGGCAGCCACACGCAGCATGCGTCTGGGTGGGCCCACTGCACTCCACAGGCCCCTAGGTTTTCTGCAGCAGTTTCTGGAAGTGGCTCGTGAGAGGGGGGCTGGGTGTGACCCCAGCAGTGCTCCCTCGTCTCACCTCAGGTCAGCTTGCCTGGCAGCCCTTCTACTCGGGACGTTACTGTTTTCCAAAAGTTGATCCCGGTCGCATTCCCGTGGCTGGTGCGTTTCCTGGGGCCCAGCGGCATGGAGACGCCCTCCCACTGAAGTGGTGGGGCCTGCACTGCGGGGTGCAGCCTGGGACCTGTGCCTGTCTGTCCTTCCAGCGTGTCTGTACTTCATCTGCAAGGCACTGGAGAAGGACTGCCGCTACAGCAAGGGGCTGGTCCTCAAGGAGAAGATATTCCACGAGCAGCCATGTCTCCGGAAGGACTCGCTCCGTATGTTCCTGCGATGGTGAGCCAGCTGCCTCCGTCTAACCCCACGACACACCCCGCCGGGCTGCCTCCGTCCGACCCCACGACACACCCCGCCGGGCTGCCTCCGTCCGACCCCATGACACACTCCTCTGGGCCGCCTCCATTTGACTCCACAGACACCTCCTAGAGTGCTCTTGGTGGCCCTGTGGGAGACATCTGATGGGCCGGGCAGGAGGGTGGTATGGCCAGGTTACCTGAGGCAGAGGGGTGTCTGGGAGGGCACCTGCCATCTTGAGTGGCGGGCACCTCCTATCTTGGGGGGAGGGCACTCTATTTCTTAAGGGGACCAGGGTTTGGAGAGCTTGGCTTGTCCGATGACTTCCTGTTGGAACAGATGGTGTGGGGCCCTGAGTTCTCTGTAGGTTCTAGCTCTGTACTTGAGGACCTGGATTATTTTGTTGTGACCCTGGCAACTTGTCTGCATACCTGCCCTCGGCTTGCTTTTGAGTTGAAGGAGGGTCACAGGGCAGCGGTCAGGTCCAGGCATGGGGTGTCAGGAGTGCTGGTTGCTGCCCTTGGGAGGCCAGACTTGGGTGGTTAGGTTACCGCAGGACTAACAGGACAGGCTAAAGGCTAACGATGGACGCACATCTGTTTGTGAAATGCCAGACTGCGCTCTAGCAGGTCACGTCATAACTCCTCCGACCATGCTGTCCTTCTAGTGACATGTCCATCCACGATGCATCCGTGAGTGCGGCTGAAGCCCAGGCCATCGTGGATGAGGCGATGGGGCTGCGGAGGAGGAGGCAGGCGCTGACCGTGCGGGAGAAGGTGCCAGACCTGAAGCTGGTGCGGCCCATCCCCTTCTTCACGTAGGTCCTGCGTCTTGGGAGGGCTGACAGTAGCTGGTTCCTGCTTTGTGGGCCCAGTCGCCCTCTGCCCCGTAGTCTCATCTCCTGGGTCATGTCCCAGGCTGTGGGCCGCTGCTGGCTGCCCCCGTCTATGCAGTGCCCACTGGGCCTGGGCAGGGCTCCGTGCTTGTTCACTGCTCCTGCCCCAGCCTGGGCAGCTTCACTGGGGCTCCACAGACCCACCTGCAGCCCCAGGAAGGTGGCTGTGGTGGGAACGGCTCCGCGGCTGCCCACTGGGCCCAGCACGGTGCTGAGCAGTCGTACGGCCTCTCCCTGCAGCTGGAAGTGCCTTGGGGAGAGCCTCCTTGCCATGTACACTCACCTCACCACCTGTGAGCCCCCGCGGCCCAGCCTGGGCAAGAGGATCGACCTGTCTGACTACCAGGATGCCACCCCACAGCTGGCTGCCTCCACGGTGCTGCCACCCGTCAGCGTTATCCAGCCACCCCCCGTCAGCACGCCCCTGCCTGGGACCGGGGCTGAGCCCGTGCTCACCTACAGCCCTGTGGCTGCGGCCAGCTTCCCACGCCATAGCCCCAGCCTGCTGGAGACAGGCCTGGCCGTGGGTGAGCAGCCTTCTGGGGTCACTGTGGGTAGCCCAGTGGGCCAGAGCAGAGGCACCCAGCCCTCCAGGGAGGTGGGCTGATGTTCACGGTCTCACAGTGGCTCACAGGCTGCTGCACCTGGGGGTGTAGCCGGGGCTCAGGGGTGCAGCCCCTCGCACTCCGTGCACCTGCTGGCCCTGCTCTGGCATCCTACGGTGTGTGTAGCACTGGGTCAGGGTGTTCTGAAGGCCAGCAGGTCTCACTGTGTGCTTGCTGAGGGGAGGGCCTGGGTGCTTTCTAAATTCCCTTCCGAGTTCTCTGGCCATCAGAAGTGTCAGTAAGGTTGCCTTGTGTGGTGGTGTTTGTGTAGTTTTATTGATTTTGTGTGAAGTTGTTGGAGTAGTGCAACGTCTCAGGCAAAAGCTTCCAAGCCTGACTTGGGGGTTTCTGTATTACTGCCAAAAGTCTGGCAGCGAAGGAGGGGCTCAGGTTGCGCGGAGGTGAGAGCACTGAGCAGACCAGGAAAGAGGTGGGTGTGGTTCAAACCCACCAGCCCCACTGTGGCAGAAAGATGAGGCAGTCAGCTTCTGTGAAGATCGACAGCCTTGGAGACCCTCTGGGGGCAGTTCCACTCTGTCTGGGGGTGCTGTGGGTCACAGTCGATTCCCTGGCAGTGGGTGTGGTTGGGGCTTTGCTTTCATTGAAGATTGACAGCCTGGGAGACCCTGTGGGCAGTTCCACTCTGGCCTCTGGGGGCGCTGTGGGTCAGAATCGACTGTAAGGCAGTGGGCTTGGATCTGGTTAAACTTAGGAAGTTTCTGCGTGAGCATATAGGTGGTTGCCTCTGATTTTTTCTGTAACTACATGACATTTCTCTGCTCTCCCTCCAGTTGTCACTGTTCTGAGTCACGTCATATCACTGGGTACTCAGGGGTCTTGTCCCCGGGTACCTGAACTGTGGCTGCAGGGCTCCTTGCAGCTGGGCAGCAGGAGGGTGGGCTGGTGCTGGGGCCCTGGTTCTCAGCCATGGGCTATAGTGTGTGCTTAAGAAGTGGAGACGGTGTGAGAGTGAGGCGCCTGCAGTGAGCTCCTTCCAGGAGCTTGAATGTCCAGCAGAGGCCACTGCTGGTGTCGTGAACGAGGGCCAAGGCCACTACCCCCTGTAGAGGCCACTACTGGCATTATGAATGGGGGCCAGTCCCCTGCCTCCTATAGAGAGGGTGGTGCTGGTGTTATGAATGGGGGCCAGTCCCCTGCCTCCTATAGAGGGTGGTGCCGGTGTTATGAATGGGGAACTGAGGCCCCTGCCCCCTTTAGGGGCTGCTGCTGGTGTTATGAACGGGGAGGCCAGTCCCCTACCTCCTATAGAGGGTGGTGCTGGTGTTATGAACGGGGAACCGAGACCTCTGCCCCCTATGGGGCTGGTGCTGGTGTTATGAATGGGGGGGGCCGAGGCCCCTGCCCCCGTCAGGTGCCACCTTGCTCTCTCTGAAGGCGATGCATCTGGGGGAGACAGGTCCAAGAAGGGTATGAAGAGGAAGAAGATCGCAGAGGAGAGCGGCGAGACAGCCAAGCGGCGTTCGGCCCGTGTCAGGAACACCAAGTGCAAGAAGGAGGAGAAGGTGGATTTCCAGGAGCTCCTGGCCAAGTTCCTGCCGTCCAGGTGTGCGCCCTGGTGTGCGGCGTGTGCCAGGGTTTTTGCTGTCTGGCTACATTCCCCAGTGTGCGGCACGTGGTGAGCTTCTTGCTGTCCGGTGTGTGCACCTGTCTGGTGTGCAGAGACAGGCAGCAAAGTCTCCCCCAGCCCACAGTCACCCCGCTCTTCCCCTCACCACCCTGTCTGCAGGGCCCCTCTTTGCCCTTCCCATCACATCCACCTGAACGCCTCCCTCCGAGCCTTCTGAGGGCAGGAGCTGGGGCTTGCTCATCTTCCTAGGCTCTCAGTAGACGGAGAGATCAGGGATCTTGTGCCCGGTGTGGGGGGCATGGTGAGGAGGGCGGCTTCTCTGGGCGTGCAGACCCCAGGAAGCCCAACCAAACAGCTGATCCTGCTGCCACTGGGCTGCCCACTGCTGCCTTCCCAGGCACTGGTTCTAGACCCCTCCCTGGGCCATGGGTTCCTGCTGGTCCTTAGAGCTGCCTCAGGAGCAGGGCAGGCTGCTTGGAGACGCCAGGTGTGGGTGGGCCCCTGGGAGAAGTTCGCCAGCCCCTGCTTCTTGTCCTCACACTCTCTGCTCACAGACGTTCCAGGACCCTGCTGCCATTGGGCTTCCCCAGGGTTATGGTGCCAGCAGCTGGCTGTCCCAGCCTTGTGGGTGGGCGAGGCCGCTCCATCTCACAGGCCTGTCAGCCTGATGGCTTCTGACGTCTGTGGGCCTGGTTCTTGTCTGTGGGGCGTCCTCCCCTGCCCCGTGTCTCGGTGGGTCTCTGTCTCTCGGTCCCTCATGGTCACCCCCTTCCCTCTCCCCTGCATCTCCGTCTCAGTCCCTCACCGCTGCCCCCTCCCCTCCCCTGTGCCCTGCATCTTGGTGGATCTCTGTCCCTGAGTCCTTCAGGGTCACCCCCTCTGTTCTCCCTGCATCTCGGTGAGGCCTGGGCCCTCTGACCAGTGTCTCCTGGCTCCTGGTTCCAGCAAGGAGCTTCCCTTAGAGGAGCCATGGCCATGGGTTTCAGTCGCTGATGCCACGAAAGGACTGAGTGTCTTCCCTGCCGTCCTCCCCAGAGCTTTCCGTCCCAGCTCTGCTTCCTTCCTTCCTGTAGTTTGTTGCCCGTTTCCTGTGCCAGGCAGCAGTAGTGGCTGAGCCTGGGTGAAGCAGTGTGTGTGGATTGAGGATCAGCGAGTTGCACCCTGAGTGTGAGCTGGCAGGACTGGGGGGCGGCCCCCGCACACACAGCAGGCCTAGAGAGTCCTGTGAGCGTGCCCCACAGGACCTGGCTCAGACATGCCCAGTGGCTCACACCTGCCACCTCCTTCCTTCCTGCTGGCTGGGCCCTTGGGTGCTGCGCGTGCCAGCTGCTCTTCTGGCCTGGGCCTTCCACATCTGTTCTTGGCCTGCCGCTTGGCCAGCTGGCCCCCTCCCTGCTCCCGGGTCAGTGTGAGAAGCACCCACAGAGGGCCTTCTCGCACCCCCTAACGCAGGTGTTCCTGGGACTCTGGGCACCTGCTCACCGTCTCCCCCGGGGGAGTGTGGGCTCTCTGAGGGCGGGCATGCACACACACACTGTTCTGGCACCAGACATGACGCCAGGCATGTGGCCAGCACTCCATGACCATCTGTTGATGGAGTGAGACGGGCGCAGACCAGACATCAACTCCAGGTCCCCCATGTGAGGCAGCCCCCCGGGGTTCTTAAACCTACTGATTGCTCCATCCCCTGAGGGCAGCAGAGGTGGCAGGGTTCAGGGCCAGGAGGGCAGGAGCTATCGTGCCGCCTGAGTGCAGGCCCCAGCAGAGCCTCCTGCCTTTGGACCACACAGACTGTGTCCCTGGGCCAGGTCCCCTTGGCCATGCTTGGAAGGGCCCTGCCAGCTGTCTTTTCTGATACCTGCTCTCAGCCTGCCCAGTGGCCTATGGGACGGGCTGGGCCCACCACCTCTCACATGGGCTCTTGCTGGCTTCCCTGCCTCCTTGTTCTGGGCTCAGGGCACCTCCCACGAGGCTGCCCAGTGAGTGGCACTGTTCCCATCGTGGCCCAGAGCTCCCTCAGGCCCGCCAGGTGCATGCTACTCCGCGGCCCTCCCCACAGGCCGCCCGCCCACCACGTGTCTCCCGCACGCCCTCCCCACGGGCCGCCTGCCCCATGCCTGTACAGATCAGGTTTCTTGAGTGAGAAGCACTCCGGGGCCAGTGTCACAGTGTGTGGTGTGTAACTTTCGTGACCTGCCATGTCCCCTGCAGGCTGAGGAAGCTGGACCCTGAGGAGGAGGATGGCCCCTTCACCAGCTACGAGGTCCAGGCAGAGGCCAAGCCAGAGCACAGCCCTAGCGCGGGGCCACACAGGCTGTCGTTTGACTCTGCCACATTCATGGAGTCAGGTAGGAGCCTTGCCAGTGGTCACCTGCTGCCTGGGCCTCTTCCTCCTCTTCCAGCCTCACTCTCTTGGGTCCTGTCCGGGGAGGATGGTCTGGGGCACAGCTTAAAGCGTGGTTAGCTGGCGGCGTAGGTCCATCTTGGTCCTGGACTTTGTGGTCAGCCCCACAGGGCTGCTCAACACCCTGGCCCTGCCGTCCTTGGCCCTGCTCCCTGCGGGATGGACGTGTCAGGCCAGGTCCCGTGTGTCCGTGAGCGCAGCTGTTGAGTGCGTACTGTGTACACTGCAGGACGGGGCGTCAGCTTCAGCACCGTCTTACACGGGGGTCTGGCTTGTTCACGACCATGCCGCCCAGCCAGGTGTGGAGCTGGCACTGTGTGTCAGTGGGGGAAAGACACAGCATCCTGGGCCTCGGCCCCAGCCATGCTGTGGTGTCCTGTCTCACCCCGTGAAGGAGGTGGGGCCCCTCTCCCAGCGCTCTGTCCCCCGGGGCAGTTGGTGTCCTGTCTCACCTTGTGAAGGCTGCAGGGCCCCTCTCCCAGCGCACTGTCCCCTGGGGCAGTTGTCCTGTCTCAGCATTGTGCCTAAAGGCACTTGACTGCTCACCAGAAGGCTGGCGGTTCAAACCCACCAGCCACTCCTCAGAAGGAAGGTTGGGCAATCTACTTCCGTGGTGATGCTGCTTTGGAAACCCAAGGAGGGGTCGCTATGAGTTGGGACCAACTTGACAACACATAATGGCAACTCACCCCGTGAAGGCCATGGGTCCCCTCTCCCAGTGCACTGTCCCCTGGGGCTGTTGGTGTCCCGGTTCACCCTGTGAAGTCCGTGGGTCCCCTCTCCCAGTGTGCTGTCCCCCGGGGCTGTTGCTGTCACAGTTGACCCCATGAAGGCAATGGGGCCCCTCTCCCAGCGTGCTATCTCCCGGGCAGAGAGGCGGGACGTGCATGACTTCCTGCTGAGGAACCTGACCAATGGTGGCATCCTTGAGCTGATGATGCGTTACCTGAAGGCCATGGGCCACAGGTTCCTGCTGCGCTGGCCGCCGGGGCTGGCAGACATTGTGCTCAGCATCTACCACAGCTGGAGGCGCCACAGCACCAGCCTGCCCAACCCATTGCTGCGGGACTGCGGCGACCAGCACATCAAGGTCAGCTGGCCAGGCCAGGCTTGGGGGGCACTGGGGCTGCGGGACTGCGGCGACTAGCGCATCATGGTCAGCCCGCTGGGCTAGGCTTAAGGGGCGTCGGGGCCAGGGGACTGCGGCCCACAGTGCCTGACCTGCTGGTGTGGGACTGCGGCGACCAGCACATCACGGTCAGCTGGCCAGGCTGGGTTCAGGAGGCCATCAAGACTGGGATGACAGGCACAGCATGGGCAGCCGGCCAGGCCAGGCTCGGGGTCAGGGCAACAGGCACATTATGGTCAGCCAGGCAGGATGGGCTTGGGGGGCTCTGGGGCTGGGAGACTGTGGTGACCAGCATGTCACGATCAGTTGGATGGCCAGGCTCTGGGGGCTTCAGGGCTGGGGCTTCGGCAACAGGCATATCCCAGCTGGCTGGGCTGGGCTCAGGGGTCTCTGAGACTTAGGCCACAGGGGGCTGGTGCCCAGGAGGAGGCCTAGCAGCTGAGGGGAGGATACCTGGAGAGAAGGATGGTTGCAGGGCCATCAAGGGCCTGTGCCAGGCCAGGCTGGGGGTGGCTGAAGCTTTAGTGTGTGTGGGGTACAGAGGAAGAACCAACAGGGCCTGTGATGGCAG